AAAAGGGACAAGGGGGGAACAAGGGACAATTATCATAATAGCTAAGTTTCTAGTGATGAGAATTTTTGAACCATGTATACACCAGTGCCTGACTACTTATTCAGATTCCAGCGATTCCACTTCAAAAAACTGAATTCTTACACTTTATTTTTGATTTTAGAAAATCATTTTTTGTTTCACACGTGTTGGCATTCACATATCCCCTAACATGTAATTTGCACTTCATTTTTATAAGAAAACGCGTTCGTGCAAATAACGCACTCCTCCTTCGTCTGCTTCCCACAATGAGGCTCTACGGGGCAAACTATCTTTGGTTCCACTATATAACCGAACATAAAATGAATTTTCACTTTCTCAAAATGCGTGAATGTTCTGCCGGAAACCATGCATTAGTTGGATCTATAGAATTAGAAGGTAGATCGTTTAAAATAACAGAGCGTAATCAATCAGTTAATATTATTTTCCCCCCACTGCCCTTGAAAGAACGTATCAGTATGTGTTGATATTGAGGTTATGTGTCATGGTTTCAAATATCAAATTTGTGATGTCAAATCCTAGATTTTCGCATAAAATTTGAATGGAAATGGTAGAATTTATGTATCCATGTACAGCTAAGATAATACAGTTCATGGAAGTTTACTTTATATTTTAAGATTTGGTTTCCATTTTACTGATTTTAACATTTCTAAAACGTGCCTATCTTGTGACTTTGTTCACAGGTAGCCCGTGTAGAGCGTGTAATGTTGGGCCCGATGGGCGGGGAAGCGGCCGATGTGGGATGGGAAAACATTCAGATACACGACCACATTGACCAACAAGGCAAATATTGAAAAAATGTGGTTAAAAACTAACAGTGACATCTTCATTCATCAGATCAATTTCGTGTATGTTTTGGTCATGTTAAACTTAATGCTTTTTCATCCAAAACTAAATCAATTAGGTTTCAATGTTTTGGCTTTGGTTTCGACTCGGCAAGACTGTCGCCAGAGTGGCTCGGACTTGTTACTATTCAACTTCCAGTGCAGCGCCTCTTGAACTTAATACTTCCTATGTATTCTTCCTTGGACTACCGGTGCCTCTGACGCGATTATCCCGCATAGAGAAATCATCTGCCCGATCAACTGACGATGTTGCAATCTGGAGAGCCATATTCAGATCATATTTCTTGTGTATTCGAAACATTCGCATTGAATTTCAACACTGAAACATAAAGCCAAACTTACACTGACACGAAAATAAAGTTTCCCAGTGTTTTTGTTTATGTGTATGTCAGAAAACGTGGACACATATTGAGCCACTTTGACCTTCTTCTGACAGCATGCTTGGTCAAAGACATTTAGAATATTAGGTTATATAGTGTAATTCTTAAAAATTATGTAATTGGCTCGCTCACCAGTTTTGAATTTGATAACATATCACCCGTTACATGAACCGTGGGAGAAAACTTGAGACAAATGTCCAACGCAGTTCATATTGGCAATAATTAATACAATTAAATGATACTTTTAATTTTTCAGTAATTCAATTAAAAGAATAAACACATTTTCTGATGACGTATATCAACTTATTTTCCAACTTACACAGGCTCACGAGGGCGATACCCGAAAATGAAATGTTCTTGGTTGTGTGCCATGATCGTGTGTGCTTTTGTAGGACTTTTCGGGCATATTCATTGGCAATCGATATGTACTCAATTTAATTCAATATATTTTTATTTTCATAACAATAACGTTAGCTTTATTACGTAGTGGGACAGGTGACACAGCAACTGATGATTATACCTGTATATGACATGGGCCTCTATAATACATAGATGGTGACAAAACACAAATATGACATTTGCCTATATCGATTCAATCTAAACAATATGCATCCCTATCAAACCCAGACCCTTTTATCTTTGAGACGAATACATAAGATGAACACGCAGCTCTCTTTTAAGAAGCAAAATCAACTTTTGTAAATGTAATAAAAAGAAGAGTTGAATCGGATGCACCATATTGGACGTAACGCAGGCTTTGCTATTTCACACCCGGGGTATAGCGAGCTCCTTCAGATCCAAAACAGGCAAAAGTATTATATAGTATTTCTGTGTTTTTTCTTATGCACATTGTTGTTTTATCAGGCATGGTCAAAGATCATCAAAGAATCTGATCTGCTAAAATCAGCTTAAGATGTACTTAACGCGTTTATAATTGCAAACAAAAGCGTGCCCGTGGCTGGCAGGCGTGTTTTGGATACAAAGGGATAAGTCTACCAATTTACTTTATAAGTATATCAAAAATAAATTATATCCAGCTAATAATGTTATAAGATCGTCCTTCCAGAGCAAGAATTAGTGAACTCCGTGGGAACCTATCTCTGGAACCGAATGACCAGTCATGTCGCCTATAGGGGTCCAAAAAGCTGTGAAAATGACCCGCCATGGCTAATATCTAACGGTGATTGTTTCTTGTTTTGTGTTATTCTATTGAAAGATACATGCAAACAAAAACAGGGTGTAAAAATATAATAGATATATTCTATTAACGTGCCACTTCTCGAGAACCACAATATACAAACAATATGGCTAATATAATTATGTAATTAATCTATTTTGCGTTATGCGCATTTTATGCCGTGGGAATTTTGTCACCATTCTATCAAATCTAATTAAAAAATGTACATTATGTTTTTAAAAGTTGATCTAGCTACGATTTTAATGTAAATTGTAATTATAGAAAAGCTATAGCTTATAGAAAGATTCCAATTCTATGTAAAATTGAAATCACGGGATGGGTCGAATCAGAATTTTATAAGTCTGGTCGAATGTACTCGACATTCATACCATACAATATATTTGCTTTTCTAGAAATAATTTATGGCTGCCGGGATTAAAGACATGCATTTTGTGTACCTGTTTAAGCTACCATTTCTCCTCCCTATATCCATTACCTTATTGTTATCAAAAGCAATAGGGATTTATTTTATTATTGTGGTTTTAGTGAAAGTTTACGTTCCTATTATTGCCCGAAAAATACGCCCTGTGTCAGACCTATGTCTTTGTTTTCTTAGAAACTAAGCGGCCAACTCAGTTCATTTAAACCTGCATGAATATAATACCCTGAGGGTCAGAACCTAGTTCTTTAAATGAAACTCTTTCAAAGAAGATAACACTTTAAAAGAAGAAGCCTATTAGAAAGGGTAACACGAATGCAAATGGAACTTGGTAACATGTTCAATTTCTCCAGACAATACCATCCCGCCTCATATAGAATCAAGTATCGAAGAGGTTTCAGTATCCAATGAAAATATTACGTTAAAATGATCGAATGGGACCTCATTAGGATTTATGTGGGGCCTAATTGCTCGAAAATATTTTTGGACTTAGAATGTGCCCCTACCATAGAAGTTGATGAATTCATCCTCTTTTTTACGCTGTCATATTCTATTCGTATTCATGTCAAACCCTTATAATAGAGCTTTAATAAAATTCATATTTTCATATATCTGTCATGAATATAAAGATAGGTCTTTTATCGAATCAATTTGTAGATAGTTAGGGTTAATGAGCCTGTTATTGATGAGAGCATTGAAAATAAACCTAGATGACAAAACGGTAACGAAGTTAGTATAGATAAACACCATGAAGCGAATGATTGCTATTCACTAAATGTTATTGAAGCTCGTGTCACTTTATATTCTTTCTATTACTTCCGCATCATGAACTTGGCCCGAAAAGCAGCTTTTTCGGCAAAATATTTTCCCAACGAGCTGCCACCAGCATCGTTGCTTGCTATACCTGGTTGGTGGCTTGAAAATCGACGAGGATTCCCTGTTACTATCTACTTTAGTGTCATGTAAGCCATCTCAGGTATACTTTAATGATATCTTATAACGATGTTTACAGCTTTGTATTTTTCCAGTTGGTCAGGCTATTGCCCCAACGAAAAAGGACGCATTCGCTAAACCATTTATAGGAAAACATTATTTCAACAACAGGGTTAATTTGACACGTATAATTCCAAGTGGGATAATAGGCAACAACGATTAATTAATAAAAATGTTGATATTTTGAAAGGCAATCTTGACAGCTTGGTGGGATATAACACTGTTAGTAGCAATGGATTCACTCAATTTTTTCAATCAGTTACTAAACGGAAACTCAAATATCATTTTTAGTTATCTGAAACCTGTTTCTTTCTTTTTCTGACATTATCGTGTATGAGATCTTGGTGCAAATTTGGTTAAATGACATATGCGGTTAGTGTTGCTATTAGTCTATTAATTAAGCCAGAGGAATGATATGTATTTTGGTCTAATGAGTCCAACTGTGTTTAGGCGCCATATCAGTACAGGCCATACAAATGGAACGTAAGCTCTTCAATCCATGAGTGTCAAATATATTACAAAACTAACAAACCCATACTCGACTGGTAAAAAACGACCTGTCTATCACTCGAGAGTTTTAGCAGAGAGCAGATATCCTATATCGTATAAAACAACGTGTGAATGGGGAGAACCAAAAGATGTCGAAACCTCTTATAAACAGATGTATCGTTCGTAAATAGGGCTCAAAAGTGATGGGGATTTGGCTAATCATTTCATACTTTTGTGCCAGGCCTTACCCAGTCGAGGGTTCACGGAGGGATTCTATCAGATACCATGCTATGAACCTTTTATCAAATGTTGGCAACTTCTCGTCCGATCAGACATGGTCGTATCGTATTCAACCATTAAATAAACAGTACTTATTCATTTGTTTATACGCTTTTGGAAGCCTACAGTGCCAAATGCCAGAAAGCCTGATCATTTTCGGTTCAAGTTCCAATTGTTCTTGATTCCTTTTCTACTTCTTTAAATTGTCAATACCTCATTGTTTAGCAATTCATTATATTTAGTCTATCTGATATTTCCAATATATTATTGAATTGATTGACATATCGATGATGATTGGCATTATTGTCATGGTAACTTGACTGCGGTCCAATCACTGGCGAGCTGGCTGCGGCTGAACGTGCGTGATAGCCGTGATTAACTCCAGAGTAAGGATAGATCTCCAATACAGGCTGACACGTATCTTGACAGTTGCTCCGCCCACACGATTAGTATAATAATCAGCTCTAGTGATGTCGATTTCAGTATAACCACGAGAGTACAATTAAGAATAGGAATATGTTCGTTTGTGCCGATCCAGCTCGGACTTTGGCCGCAGTATCAATGGCAACGAAACAACCGATGAAGGTACCAACAATTACGGCGGTACCAAGCCCGGCAAATATGTTCATGGCTTTGCCAATGTTAAATTTCACACCACAACAAGTTGCACAAGTTTGCGAAACTTTGGAAGAAAGTGGCGATATTGAACGCCTTGGACGTTTTCTATGGTCGTTACCCGTTAACCCGGGCGCCCTGGAAGCCCTCAACAAATGCGAATCAGTACTAAGGGCCAGAGCCCTTGTAGCCTTCCATACGGGAAATTTCAGAGACCTTTATCACATCTTGGAGTCGCACCGATTTACAAAGGAATCCCATGCCAAACTGCAGGCTATGTGGCTCGAGGCTCATTACCAAGAAGCCGAGAAACTAAGGGGAAGACCCCTCGGTCCAGTGGACAAGTACCGTGTCAGGAAGAAGTTCCCATTACCAAGGACTATTTGGGACGGGGAACAAAAAACACATTGTTTTAAAGAAAGGACTAGGGGACTTTTAAGGGAATGGTATCTTCAAGATCCATATCCCAATCCTACAAAAAAGCGGGAGCTAGCACAGGCCACTGGTCTAACCCCAACACAAGTCGGCAACTGGTTCAAAAATAGACGACAAAGAGACAGAGCAGCAGCAGCCAAAAATAGGTAAATATACAAAAATATCACCTTAATAATTGTTTTATTAAATATTTGAGGTTAAAAGTGTAACCAACCCAACATATGTTGGAATTTAAATTGCCATTATTTTAGTTATTGTCACGAAAATAAAGTAATTTTAAAATGTTGTGCAATTTATAGCTTGTTTATAGTTTTGGAATATTTTCTGCAAATGATTTCACACATATCGTAATAATTCAAATATTATCAATAACTTTTTCAAACCGTTCTAATTCGGTTTAAGGTACTGTGGTGGTCTATCTTTAGGATTAAAGGTTTGCTCCGTGGTAATACAATTTACAAAAACAACAGAAAGTTATATTCCGTAATGGGTGCTAATAGAGAATAATACCCTTGAATATTTCAACAATATCACTGTCTGTCATAATTTTGACTTTTGAAATCTGGTTAAATGTTTCCAAAAACTTTAATCTGTTGTGAAACATGAATTATCAAAAGAAAGAATAAACAACAATTTTGTTCATTGAATCATTGAAGTTTATCCCTGCTCTTCAAAGCCCATAAAATTCTCTTTTGTGATTTAAAAGATTTAGGATACGAATTATGGAATTAAAGAATTAAATATTCGGCATTCATAGTTTTATTTTGAAGTAGATATAAATATGAATAAAATAGAGAACATATATAATCTCAAATAAGAGTATTATACGTATACTTTATCCAATTTTATGGGCAAATCATTTAAAATAAAAAGAGTGTGATTTTAATGGAGATTTCCATACCTCTAATCTTTTTCATACCTCAAGTAAATTCCTCAGAGCTTAATATTAATACACAATTTTTAGATCTTTAAGATAAATATGCCATATTAGTGATAAAATTCAAGTAAAACTGTAAATTAATGTAAACTTCAAATGCTAGTAAAACTGTAAATTCAAAATTCAAGTAAAATTCATCTAAAACTCAATGAATTCAAGTACAAATGTGAATTCAAGTAAAAAAGCTTCATTCTGTTTAAAACAAAAAAAGAAAAACATAGTGGATCAAAACCAGGCATCCTGTAGAATACCTAACAAAGATGTAACAATATCATTTTAGATATCGGTTACCTGTAGTTTGAAAGAACTGGCACCATAAAGATCAGAAAAATAGTATCATCTCTTCTGGCAGATGTAGTTGATTTAAAGACTTCTTACAATTACAAAACATAAGATTCACTTGAGAGAAGAAAACCAAAACATTTTTGAATTTTGTAGTTAAGCTGAGCCATCTGGGTATCTGGTCGTCAGTAGCCATGATTCTTTTATGTTTACGTGTACATACAAACATCCTTTTTTCTTGTGATATCATTTCAAAGATTCGAGCACTATTTAGATGCACTCTTTATCTTAGCGGAAGAATCCAGGCTCAAAACTATGCTCAATAGTACGAAAACAATGATAGAATAAATCAATTCGCATGTTGCTTTTTATTTACTTTTTGAACATGCAGGTACCATTTATAAATTGATAAATATGTATTTCTTGACAAAAGCCATCCGTATACAATATATATTGACATATATTTGAATGACTAATTTCTGAACAACAGATTCATGTCTTACGTCTTGATATATATGTCACATTTAAAGTCATATTTTCACTTCTGAAAACACCAAATGCATCTCTAAAAGTTACTCTCTACCTGTTAACTTCACACTTTGTACATCTCAGTCACACTTATTATCAAACAGTGAAAAATTCAATAATAAGTTATCCCTATGGACGACCAATGTTTGGGTAAATCACATACAATTGATTTAAAGGGGTTACACAAACACTGTTAGATAGTAGAGTGATGTCGTAAGCATTATCCATGGTTGACATTATCCATGGTTGAAGTACACAAGTAAAGAATCTATAAGCGATGTTCAATGACTCTTCACTTATTCAATACCAGTAAGTAAATCTCTTCGGCTAAAGACTGAGGGTTCTTTAAGTGAAATGGCCTGAAATGACTCTCTCAAGAGATGATAATTTCGCATCTATTGAAGCAATTACATCTTCAACGTAAGCATTATACAAGTATTTGAAAAGAGAAACTCATTAAACGGTGCTGTTGAGAATCGAGTAATGCGTTCAATAATTATCATACATGTTGTCATTGCGCATGGCTCTGAATCAATTGGAGTATTGGTAAATCAAATATCAATTTATAATAAAATCTCTATGATACTATTCTAACTGTTCTCATCTTTTGTACCTGCTTTGTAAACATTTTTTGTTAATATTATCAATTATTCAATCTGATATAATGTTTGATGTATTTCTATAGTCCTTTTGGGATATTTTCTAAATATGCAAATCAAGCTCAAATGTATAGCTCAATGTAACTATGCATTTTTTAGATTTGCTTTAATAATTTATCATTGGTTATATTCATATAATAATAAACTTCATATAATATTTTGAGCAATTGGAAAATGTTATTAATCTACCCTTGTATCATCATCGTCAAAATATGACACTTGAAATTACCTAAATTATTTTCAGTTGTTACATGTATGGACAAACTGCATCGCTATCACAACAGTTCCCTAGTTATGCGTTGATTGATAATCTAAATGTTATTAGAGTAATTAGTACCCGGGGTATATAGTGTATACATAGCAGTCTCACTGTTCCTATATTTGATTATATTATATTATATTTAGAGAATGTGTATAATAAGACAATCGTGTTATTGGGATGACATCTGAGTAGAAGTCTCGGCATCTGTCGTGATTTTACATTCTGGTGTATGCGCTTCCTATTATAGCATCCTTCTTTTCTGTTTCAAACGTTACCAATGACGCCAAACTGTTGGAATAAAAACGGTGATCATCCCTATGTGAAGAGGGTTGTTTGCCGGGGGTTGTTTTGCTATATGTGTCGATTCATGGCATGTTTGAAATTTTAAATCAAAGCTCTTGGCAGATCCATCAAGTTTTATTTTGTGTTTGGAAGATGGAAGAATTCCCGATATTTATCGAATTGGCTGTTCGTCTAGACTTCGATGAAATAATGACATGATATGTCTTAAATAACTTAAATGATATTTCGTAAATATTTAAGAAGCATTATTATTGATCTTTGAAAAAGGGATTTGCCAATGAGTTCTTGTTCAACGAGGATCCTGTCATTGGTTGAGTATGGCATTCTGGACGTCACGTCATGTTTAGCTTATCTGGGATAAATCAGATTCTGAGTCTACTCCCAGATTATTTCGACCTTGTCGTAAATTTCAGGAAATACTACAGGGGTGTCACTCACTCATAATTTTACCTTTTCAGCCTGGCAATCTGAACATACTTGTAAGCGAATTCTACAGACGTTCAATTACTTAAAATAATAGAGTTCTGGACTCCGTCACTGCCAGCACGGCTAATATTGGTGTCAGATCTTTTTTCTTCTGTTTTCCTACATTACTTTACAAAAACATCGCAGTTGGATATTCGACTAGAAGTAATCCACACTGAAAACCCAATTTTTGTACTAAATATCCTCTCAATTTGGAATTCTATGAGAAAATATACACCCATCCACTTAAAACCAGGAACTGAAAGTTTCCCGTAACCCATGCACATAATTAACAATTGCGAAACGATTCCAAAGATGGTTGAACCTCATTACTGTATATCATTAACGTCTATATTTCTTGGACGTAAATCAAACTCCAAAATGGTCTAATGTTTGAACATCTCCGGAAAACACTAAAAACATCCTTGGATAATTCCCAGTCAATCCCAGTAATGATTTAGACATTTCCTCACTAAGTGATAAAAGTGATCTTTGATTCAAAAACATCTCTATATGTCATCCTATTTCCATAATTGAACAAAATTGGTCAATTTGTTGTCGGTTGTGTGAATGGGCAAATCAATGAGTTGTCTTTGCTAACGATCTCAAAGACGCAACCGTATAAATCACAAGAAATTACTATAAATGACATTAAACTCTATAGGATAGTTAAAGATTGGTGTTTTAAGAGCACAATACTCTTTCTCCAACCAATCGATATAAGGAAGATGATATGTAGCCTACAACAGAACGTTCACAATCAATTACCAATATAACCCCAAGTAAAGACAATCGAAAAGACTAAACTACTACAGTCGCACAAATTACTATTTTTGTTGAATGCAACTTAATTAATTAAGGAATGAAAAGAACATTTTGTTAAGGGAGTTCACATGGTTGGAGATGTCAACAATTGCGTTTCGATTGATGATATTACTGATCTTTGATGGTTGATACTGTGGCATCTGTCTCGCTCTAAATAACAAAGCTTTAAATGGCAACCTACTCTATAAGACCGAGTTGCCCTTATTAAACCAGACAGCATTTTCATAATAAGACACGGTTTTAATAATGTTTCCAGCATGATTCTTATAATAATTCTCGGATGTGTTATTATATGGAACGGTGCGGTATTTTCAGGGAAACTGTTCTCAATTTAATGCATGATACACGGCTTTATAAGTAATATCAACTTTATCAACAGTTCCATTACGCGACTTGATGCCACACTCCGTTAACAAATACGGAGTCAGTTCAATTATGGCTTCATCAACTATCACACCAATCGTTGAAAAAATACAACATTGCCGTTTCCATGATAACCATACAATCAAGCCAGACTTCAGAGTAACAAGGAGATTAGATGAAACATATACGTCTGAAGTATCGCATCCCTTTGTCTCACGGCAACTTTAATGAATTTTGAGGATACTGTTTCACATGGAAATTACATGCTTATTATGATATCATGGTGTCATACGGAATATGGAATAAGCTGGTGGTATATTAGTTTTACTTCTTTCGTAATGCAGTTCCATATCATTTATAAATGATATCATTATATAGTAAATTGTTTCAATAATGCCCAATGAGTAATCCGGAAATATGCGGAATTGATAATTTTCTGCATTCGGATTTGGATATTCGAATCAGTCATAAGTTTCTTTGTTCTAAAAGTGTGACTTACAAGTTTAGATTAAATATATTGGT